TTATTCGTTTCCTTGTCCTAACTGCAGGTCAGAGAGGAGCCAGTGTTTGAGGCCCTGTTAAATGAAAGGGGGATCTATTCTCTCCCATATTCAGACTGCTTTCAATCAGTTTTGCCTCATTGGCCCCAATGTAGGTGCTGTAGGAGACGGTTGAGATGAGAATGCCACAAATGGCCTGAAACTAATGTTGACCTCCCTCACCACACAGATTTACAACACTCTACAAGGCCTTTCTATTTTTTTTTCCAATCTCAGCCTGTCCCTCTTTCTCCCGTTTCTATTTCCCACCCTCTCTGCTTTTCAGTTTCTCAAAAGGAGTAGCTCTCACCATCTACTTCAGTATCCATTTAACTCAAGCTGTTTTTCAACTTCTCCATTTCCACTGCACTTCTGTCTGCCATGTCAAAGAATTTGAAAGCTCGAAGGCATATTTCATTTGAGCACAATAGTAAATAAACACCATCAAAGCTGCTCTACTTATGCCATTTATACATTGCACATGTTAAGGTAAAAAAGGCCAGCACTGCAGTGTGTGTGTGTGTGTGTGTGTGTTTCCGTCATTGTGTGGGAAAAATTGTTTAGTGCCATCGTTGTAAGAACATTGAAGTTGTAAAGACCCGTCACAAAGCGTTGTTTGAGGGTTACAGTTAGGGTTGGGTGTTAGGCAACAGGCTTTGGTGGTTAACCTTATACTTGGGAATGTATCATGTCAAAGGGTGATCTCACAACTACATTAAGACCAATGCATATGTGTGTTTGTATGAGAGATTGAGAGAAAGAGAGCATTTTATCTTTGTGTTAAAGTGAAAGTACCTTTCAGAAGGTGAACCTGAATGCTGCCGTCTGAGCCAGAGGTGTGTGATGGTGGTAAGGTCAGAATGAACCACAACATAAACTAAATAGCAGCATAAATATGAGTTATTTAATGACAATTACTCAAGTTGTTATAATCATATCAGTTATCATTTTCAGTTGATTCAGCAAGGAGTTTGTTTTATATTTGCACAATAATCTGTCAGTCTAGCTAGTATTAATCAAATATATTCCTGCAGAAGAGCCATTGTACTGTACATTAGCCTCTGACTGTATTGAGTCATGCTGCCAGTTCCTTTTTGATTCACTGAATCAAGGAGGAAAGCACCACTGGCCCACCACACACCTCTCTGGATATGTTATTTGCATAATTTGAAAAGTGGTAATTACACTCCGTGGGTTAATTGGCCTTTTTAAAACGAAGCCCTTTTCAGACGTGAGCTGTAAGCACAAACTTATCAAGACATTCCCCATCGTTATGTGAGAACTCAAATGTCCAAATTAGTTGGCCTGGACATTAAATAAATTTTATCCTGGCAGCTCTCTAGTACAAAGTCCATGCAGCATTGATGATGTTTCTTCATGCCACTTACCTGAAATTGGAAAAATACAAACATCCAAGGGTCAAGCATGACTGTATAAAGGACACCGGATTACAAGATGACACCCAATTCATTGTTTTGAAAGCTTCTCAGTGCTGCATACTCTGAATAAATCATACTTCCAGAGTCCATTCATAAAAGTTACCCAGATGTCCAGCAAGTTTCCACATTTCTGGGTCCATAGACCATGTGCACTTGCATCGAACTTCGATTGACCTAACAGATTTGAGCTGGCTCCCCACACACATTAATGGGGTCCTGCGCAGTATCTTAGCTGTTCCTAGGACTGCACTCTTCTGGACAGAGATCTCAGATGTTGTTCCTGGGATCTGTTGGAGCCACTCTTCCAGTTTGGGGGTCACACCCCCAATGTTCCTATTATCACGGGGACCACTTGTGACTTCACCTTCCACATCTTTTCTAGCTCTTCTTTCAGCCCTTGGTATTTCTCAAGCTTCTCGTGTTCCTTCTTCCTGATATTGCTATCGCATGGGATTGCTACATCTATCACGACGGCCTTCTTCTTCTGTTTGTCCACCACTACTATGTCTGGTTGGTTGGCCATTACCATTTTGTCAGTTTGTATTTGGAAGTGCCAAAGGGTCTTAGCTTGGTCATTCTCAACCACCTTTGGAGGTGTATCCCATTTTGACTTTGGGACTTCCAGCCTGTACTCAGCACAGATGTTTCTGTCCACTATGCCAGCCACTTGGTTATGGCGTTCCATGTATGCCCTGCCTGCTAGCATCTTGCACCTCGCTGTTATGTGCTGGATTGTCTCAGGGGCATCTTTGCACAGCCTACACCTGGGGTCCTGTCTGGTATGGTAGACCCCGGCCTCTATTGATCTTGTACTTAGAGCTTGTTCTTGTGCTGCCATGATTAGTGCCTCTGTGCTGTCTTTCAGTCCAGCTTTGTCCAGCCACTGGTAGGATTTTTCAGTATGCGCCACTTCAACTATTTGATGGTGGTACATACCGTACAGAGGCTTGTCCTTCCATGAGGGTTCCTGCTCTTCCTTCCCTTCCAGACCTGGGCATGTTGGCAGTTGTTTTGAAAGCCCTCCACTTGTAGACTATCTTCCGGACAGTGGAATGGCTGATTTCAAAATCTTTTGAGATCTTTTTAAATCCTTTACCAGACTCATAGGCTGCTACAATGTTTTTTCTGAAGGCCTCTGACAGCTCTTTTGCTCTCACCATGGTGCTCACTCTCACTTCAACAGTCAGGAGCACACCAAACTAAATGTTTGAGGTTTAGATGGGGCAAGCCTCATTCAAAATGCTGAGTAACGATCTACTAATTATGTGCACCTGGTGTGATATACCTGTGTGTGATTTGAGCCATTTTAAGAGGGCATACATGTGAGGGTGTGCTAACTTTTTCCTCAGTTAGAATAGGCATTTTTGTAGAATTACATTTACAGAAGATCTTGAAAAGACTTTTCTTCAGTTTTACTTGTTTAGTTGTATTACTTTAATCTCTCTGTATTGTTAAAATTGAGATTAAATAACCATATATTAAAAAATGTTACAAAATACACATGCTTTCAAAATGTGTCCTAATTTTTTCACATGACTGTATATATATATATATATATATATACACACACACACATATATACACACATATATACACACACACACATGTATGTATGTATATCCTAGGGCTCACTTAGATTTCCCTAATTGATCAAATTCTGATATAACAAAATGGGGTTTAGTGTTTATGATGGTCAGAAAAATGTGTTCACCTTTTTATAGGCACTTCTTTTCCATTGATCCTCTATGGGAAAAATGCTTTTTAGGCCAGCATGCATCATGTGATGAATGCAAAAGTTGTAGTGAAGTAGTTTGACCACTATGCCAAAACTGCTTCACAGCCTAGCGCTGTCCCTTGTTTTACACAAAGATGCCTATGAAAATATCTGGAGAGACAAGAAGACTCCTGAATTTCTGTCATTAAGTGATGATGCCAAAATTGTCATACATATCAAGGAATGGCAAGAGACTTGACTATTTATGACCAAATTTTGAACCAGCTATGTGACAGTATACTTCTTGCATCATGTCATGCCTCCTGCACACTCTACCCAGGCGCCACCCCTCGCATAAATCAAACAGAGTGTTTCCACTAGGTGAGAACACGTCTGACACAGACAATCTCCAGCTGTGTGCTACTATACATGTGAAAGGGCAACCCAGGACAATGTCTGTACCTGATTCTCCAGACACTGTGAAGGCCATATGAGAAAACAGCTCTAGTGAGCCTGCATATGAAGACTTTAATGCAGAAACACAAGCAAAAGAGTTTTCACAGCACAGAAGAGTTGGTATATCCTAAAAGGGTATAAGCTTTAAAGACTGTTCTTGGCCACTTATGAAACTGGCAAGATAAAGCACAGAGTCCCCACTTCTCCTCTTTGGAGAATGGAGAATGGGGACGGACTCACAGAGCAATAGAGTCACATGGCGCATTGCATTCAGATATGGCTGAGACACACCTATACTGTGCTCACATGCATCATGTGCATACTGAAAGATATTACCACACACACACACACACACACACTGTCCATTCAGACAAACACACTCAAACAAACCTTAACACTCACATACACAAAAGAAGCCCTTGAAGTTTAGTCCAACCATTTAACTTCCAACATGTGAAAAGGGGATAAAAGAGGGTCAATTTCTGCAGCAGAGCAACACAACTTGGTGTCTCCCCTGACACTCCGCGGCCCTGCTGGGTGTGTGTTTGTGAGCGTGAGTGCTTCCATGCATTGGTGGAAAATATGCCCTCTTGCTTGCTGAAAGGCGATTTCCGTAATCCGGGAATGTAAGCCCCACTGTACAAATGGGTGTAAAAGACTTTGTGTGTGTATATGTGTGTGAGTCTGTGTATCAGAAATGCCAGCAGAAAACTGCACATCTGTCTGGGAGACTGATAAGAGGCAACAAGTGAAGGGAGTACAGTGCCACCATGAGAAACATGCTTGTGGTTTTCCTAATTTTTGATATTCACTGTTATCAACTGCTAGTAAGTAGGACATGGTTACATACATGTTCACTTAAAGCTGCTCTAGCAAATTCAAACTCAACAGTTCTGGAGGCTGTAATCTACAGAGACGTACTGTGATAAAATATTTAACAGGTGAAGAAACACAACTGAGAGAAAACAATCCTGAGTAATCCTTGGATTCTTCTTAGGTTCTTCTAAGCATGAAGTGTGTATTTGTGTGCTTTCCAAGCAAAGGTTATTTGGTGTCTATCTGTGGTGCCCAGAGGCACAGCGGACAACCCACCTGGCATCATGACTTAAATAGAAGACAAGAGCTGCATTTTTGATAGAAGATAGAAGATTTTGATAGATAGCTGATTGATAGAAGATTTGAGAATGTTGAGTATAGTTTTGCTCCTGTTGGTAATTGTAAAAGATATTACAGTGTACTCTCCTCTCTTCTAAGTACTTTTTATAGGTTGTCTACAAAAACAAGTTATAAAAAAGTTTTGTGGTGCACCAAAGCCATCCCACATCAGGAAAAGATCTGTGGTACTTGCTGAAATTATAAAAACTATCACTCACTCTGACAAGCATATGAGGGAAGGGTCCTCGAGAGTTTTCAGGCACATTGATAGGCGGGATGACCCAGTCTCTCTTCTGTCGCCTCAGCCCATTGGCAGAGGAGCCTCTTTGATGCCTTCGAGGGAACTTGATAACTCTGGGTTGGGAGTACCAGACTCTTGACAGCATTTCTTCAATGCCAACCTGAAAAGAAAAAGCCAAAAATATCATATCATGCCACATCTCCCTGTGAATAACTTGCATGATACCATTTGAAAAAATGCTTTTTTTTTTGCCGGGTGACAGGTTGGAAGATGGAACTATAAAGTGCTATAAAATGGCAAGTTTCCCCCTCTGCTACAATTGAAACTAAAATACTGGGTGCCACACTAACAGGAAACCCATTTTGTGAGACTGACAGAGGCAAAATAAATGTAAATAAACATTTTCCCTGAATGCTGCTGAATTGCATTTCATGAGGCCCTTGGCAAGACACCTGTGCCTGCTCAAGAGACACCACCCCCAGGCTACAGAGGTGCAATGCTTTGTCTGCATCCCAGCACCAATTTTTTTTTTTTTTTTTTTTTTAAGGTGTGCTCACCCCTGTCCTCTCTGTCCCCGCTGAAGATGTGTGACACTTTGCCTTAATAAAGCCTGTCATCATATAAAACAGATTTTGATGAAAAAGCAGTGCAATAAGAAGGGGGAAAGCCTTGCAGTTTTGTCTACACAGCAAGCACTTAGATGAAGAGCAGCTGAAAATGTCACACAATCCTGCTAACATGCTTTTGTTGAAAGAATTGCAGAAAGCACAAATAGCATGTGGGCCGTTCCTCAATCCAGAATCTGCCCTGGATTTGTTTGCATGTGTGTACTATTTCCTACTGTTGATGTTGAGGTACCTTTGAACATCATACAGGACCATGGTATTATGGGAAATGTATGGGTGTATATACAACCCCTGTGCCCCCTGCGCTGACTCCTCCCGGCTACAGCTGCAGAAAGGAGATTACATTCTTACTCATCTTGCCTGGCAAAATAAGGGTTAGAAGGGTGTATAAAAGACTGAGTGTTTTTTCTCCTATCCTCTATGGTGTCCTCCTGTGTAAGATGGTTGTATTGCTGTAATCCACCTAATCCTATTGTTGCCTCTGTGTGCCTCGTACCCATACACATTCACTGGCAGTCTGACACTGTCACCTGAAGCGCACTGAAAATCCTCCTGCTCATCCCACCTGGAACATCCACGCAAAGACACACATGTCTGCACATCAGCAAGCATGAACACACTGCCATGCCAAACACAGGCCAGTAGTTCATCTTATCAATACAGAACTGCTTTGCCTGTTAGAGAGACAGACTGTAAGCTACACCTGAGCAAATGTTCTGTATATTTTTCATCTTTTAACTCTTCACAAATTCACAGCTCATACGATTGGACTGCAAGCTCAGTGCGGCGCTCTGGACACTGCATGCTGTGGGTTTTAGCCGGGCAGGAACACAACAGGGGACGGAGCGGGGTGACCGGGGTAGATGGTTAGAGGACCAAAAAGAGGAACGAGGGGACCAGATGTGTTTCCCAGATAAGATAACACATGTTCCAGCACCACTCATCCAAAACACACACAGGTACTGACTGGCAAGAGGCAGGCAGGGAGCATGCCAGCCTCTTCCACAGGCGGCAGGTGGATTTAGTTTGTCTGTGGATGTTTGTGTGTTTCTGTGGTTGTGTGTGTGTTGATGCTCATTTAAAGCAAACCAAAACAAGAGAAAACAAACAAGTGTGTACAAAAACAAATATGAAATAGATGATAAACAGCACCCTATGTGACATATCTGCATGTCAGTGCATATGGACAGAAAACATAGATCATGCGCTTCCTCATCCGCACTCGGTACTGTTACCAGCATAAGGCCCTTATCTGCCTTCCTGGCTAATGGTAGAGAAATACAGTGACTAAATAGGTGCTCTAAGCACCAATCAGGCCTGTTGATGAAAGCAGCCCATCAAGCCTGAAGATAACCAGGTTGGAGCATGTGACTGGTCAGATACCAACATTCCTTTAAAAATATTGGCCAAACAGAAATGAAGAAGGGAGACAGACATAGAAAGAGACAATGAAAGGGAAACATCTTTTATTCTAAGTCTGCTTGTGGATGATATCGGTGTAGTGACTGCATTGGACTGTCACTTTCAAACAGCATGGTGGATGACAGGTTGTTGGCACTCTGACAATACCAGAATTACAAAGGAAAGAAAGAAAGCTGAAAATGCTCTCCGTGAGCTGCCAGGAACATACTGTAGATACTTATTAGGGTTCAGAGACATCTTTTCTTTTTGACTGTGTGTATGAAGACATTATGTGCATGTATAGTATCTTCAGTCATGCCTGAATGCTCCTACAGGAAATCATATGTGTACATGTAAACATGAGAGCATGTGAGGGTGTATTTGTGTGTGTCTGCTTGTCCCACTGTGCATATGCGCATGAACACATGAAAGGGACGCCACTAGTGTGCCCCTGATGCACCCAGGGCTTCTGAAACCCAAAGGCAGTCAGAGCCAGCTGGCATCTCTGCTCTAAGGCAGACTGAGCATTACTGGGGCATTCTTGCAGCCCCCAAGCCCTGGAGCTGACATCTGGAGTTTATCAGTCTGACAAACAGGCGGAACAATAGGAGTGTGTGCTCATTGCCCATTCTTTGTTCAGTGTGGCACTGAAAACATTTCATTTCAGATCTTCTGATGTTAATTTCTATGTCATTAGAGCCCCAGTTCCTTTTGCTAGTTCACTGTGATAAAACAGGAGATCAGAGTGCTTGTCTTCAGTACGAGCACTGGGCCTCATTCACCGCTTTTAAGAACAAATTTCTTTTTAAACCCACTTACACAGTTTTCACAAAGATTCTTCACCTTATCTGGGATTTGTTCTTAGGTAAGAACAGAATCTACGCACACTCCGGAGCACATACACTTATGCACATTTAAGTGCTGACATGTTTGTGTGAAATAATTGGTGATCTATTTTTCTTCAGTTCTAGAGGTGTATAATATTATAAATATGATAATACTAGGCAAGGTAAGGCAAGTTTATTTAAATAACACATTTTCATATGCAACTGCAATTCAGTGTTTAACACGATGCACACTAACATTGTTATAATTAATTCATCAGTTGTGCACCCTTCTTCTTATACTGAAAACCCTCATAGGTACCTTCAGAGGTACCCTTTACCATCTGTATGATGCATATTTTCTTTAAAGTGAAGAAAAGTAACTTTTAAATCTAACTTAGTGTAAAAAAAAACAGACATTCAAATTCTTGTTGTTGCTATTTGTTGTTGAGATTTGCAGCATTTCAGTGTGGATTGTCAACATAATCAGACTATAATCACAAAGCTAAAGCGCATAGCAAAAGCACAATCATCCAACCCTGCCCAAGGTGCTTTTTAACAACCAGTAGGCCCCAGGGTCCTACGTTCCACCCTGCTGCCGGCCTTCGTTGCAATGTAATCTACCTTGAAAAGGTGAGGCTGTCTGGGGGGAGCAAAGCATATGCAAAGCAAATAAGCACTAAAACCCAATCCAGCAACCAGTCAACTCCAAATCCATTGGTGCATAACTGATGGGCTCTAAGCTGGTGGAGAAGGCAAACCAGTGTGCCATGAAATCAGTATGAGTTGGAGAGCACTCAACGAGAGGCCCTACCTGTGCGAGGTGCGATAGCCTGAGTACATAAACAAAGCAGGAAGGGCTTTCAGGCCAAAGATGCTCCACACTTCAATTGCTGTGGTATTGTTCGCTTGAAAATTAAATAGTAAATTGAGCTGGTCCACCATGGAGCACATTCCAAGTATGCCAATTTCTGCTACTAAAACACAACAAGGAGAAAGTAAGCCAGTTACTAAAAGAAAACCAATGCACTCCCATTTATGCTATACAAAAAAGCAAGCATAGCAAAAAAAAAAAAAAAAAAAAGAAAAACACAGTAGTTTGAGAACAGATCATTTGAGTGGAGATGAAGCAGCCATATACAGTTTGTTATAGTACATCTGCATACATCATCTGTCTCCACACAGATTGAATTAACCAAATGATCTGAGCAGTTTGTCTTAATCACCATGAGGATGAAGAGGATATCCTGAGATATTTATACTGAACTAGAAAAAGAAAATGAGCCACAGAGTTCAAAATGCTGCACAACACAATTTTGGACTTCATTTCCCAGAAATCATGTGAAGTCATTTAACCGAAGTACATTCAAAACACTCCTACTGTTTTTACTAACTTCACCACTTTATAATGCTATAAACTTAAGAACAAAACAAGAAGAGAGCAATCAAAGATGACAGTGTAGCTTCTACAGTAACTCTCTGCAGCTTACAGCATGAAACAGCTGCATTTTACTGTTAAGTTTAACAAGCATCTCAAAGTGAATGGGACGCTCCTCAGTGTCAGCTGAATATACTACTAATAGTCAAAACATGCATGGCGTTCTTGACGGCGTGCTGTGTTTTAGCCATGCTAGCTGCTCTAAGACATTCTGTACAGACAGACTAGGGGACAAAGTCCACTGACTTTGGTGATCTCAACTTTATCTTCAAGAGGTTCACATTTGTGGTTTTGAGTGAACAGTTGAATACAATGTCTTAAAATTTGGTAACAACTACAATTGTGCAATAGATGGGTTTCTTAGCGACGTCACCAGTGAGATGCATGTGCATGCATGGGGTAAAATACATCCCAAAATGACTGATGGCTAACTGCGCAAATGTAAAAGTAATTAGTGTTCATTATATCAAAAAGGAACCCTGCCTTTTACAGCAGAACTGTCAGCTCCAGTAATGTGGTCTGAGGTCTGGATTCTATGAAGGCTGTGGCAGGTTTTACACTGGAGCTGCAAGAATAAATGCTAGTTTTCAGGTCAGACAGCTCACACTGTTACTGTGCTTTAGGCTGTTTAATGAATAAGGCGAAGGCTCTGTGTCTGACAAACAGTGTGTCTGGAGTTTTGGCGTGGGAATCAGTGACAGCTGATAGAGGCCCAGACTGATGGCTAAACAGACATACAGAGTCTCTGATGAGGATCCTGTATAGAGGATCAATAATGCTAAATAAATCCTGTACTGACATGGACTGTTTGCTTTTTTGTTTGTTTAAGCTTTGCCTGTTTACACTAGCTATCTCCGGTGTGAGTTGCTGCATTAATGTAACAAATAGAGTGTAGAATGTTATTAATATAAAAAGCAGAATGTGTGCAAACGTTACGCAGTGCAACAAGGATATGCTTAATAGTCAAATTTACCTCTAAACCATATTTTCACAGCTTTTTAACAAGCTGCTTTATTTTTAGATAATAATGCCTTGTAGGTCTCAGAAGTCACATTCTCCCAGGTATTCTGTCATTGATATCATATCAATAATTTAAGCTTATAAACTTAATAAGCCTATTTTTGAAACATGACCTCCAGTATTTGAACCAGGTAGCTTGAGCTAAAAAATAGAACATGTCAGATGCGCTCACACTTAAGCACGTATTGTGAAAAGGTTGAATAAATAAGCTGTTTCTCTAGCTCTTTTTCTCTGATACGGAGTGTGCTTCACACACAGCGTGCACTCCAGTGCACAGAATCACCACCTGTGAGTGTTTGTGCATTTTTGTCCAGCAACATATTAATGCTGTTTAGTGTCGACTACAGGCCCTGTTTACTAAAGACAGGTAACAGACAAAAACTCAGATCAACCTCCACGAGGGACAGTGGGGACAGAGTTTTTCTTCCTCAAATAACTATTTCATCATCCATGTATCTCATATTATCCTGTACTAGCCCATACTGCGTCTTAATAATGACATGACTATTAATTTAACTAGTATTTATTTAAATTTCTCCTCAGGGCGTCCCACCAATTTCCCACTCAGGAAACTGGAACTGTAGTGCCTGTTTATAGCATCTGAGGAAGAAAATGACAAGAACACATGTACAGTAAACACTTTTCTGGCAAAAATGCATACTGTACTGTATGTACAAAAGCTGGTTTTCAACTTTCCATGTGATTACAGAAAGCACATTTATTTTTTGTTCAATTATTTAACTTTTCTCTAGCTCCACTATGTGGGGAACATAATTATGCACTGAAACTATATCACCTGGTCCTTGCAGACTCCACCAGAGTGGAACATTAGCTCAATCAATGTCAATTATTTCCCAGTCTCCATTATTGCACTGCCAGGAGTGGGCAGAATTTTAATCCCCAAACTGCAATTGCTTTAGCTACATGAGTCTTGGGCTTTTTGTCATGATTAGAAACATGACTGAACATTAAACCCAATGGCGTTCAACAAGTAGTGCAGGAAAAATGATAATGGGTTTTCCGCTCAACAAAGTGCAGCCTGGTAGTGAAAGTTACTAACAGTTATACATTTGGCCCTGTGTAGTTCTCTGTTAGCTAATAGAACCATGTCTCTAGTTGTCACATACAGAGAAGCACCGCATCTTGACTGCTAATAATGCACTCATATAAAACTTCAGCTCAGAGCAACACTGGTAACACAAAGACTACATGTGTATGCAAGGTCAGAGAGACAGAGGGAAAGGTGTCCTTACTGTAAATGTTGCAAGGCAGACTCCAAAAATACATAACCTTAATGGTTCTGGTTATTAAAAGAACAAGTCATTGCATTTCACCCTCTTCATATTTTGTTTTGTGATTTAGTTGATTGATAGGAGCCTTTATCAGGATGATGCTTTACAGTTTCTTCATCAAACTACTGAAATTTGACATGGGTTATATGGTTCACAAGAAAATAGGCCTATACTTTTTAAGAAAAAATATACATTTTTAATATTTGTGGAGCCATGATGACTCTGTTTTATCGTAGTTTTACTGAATCTGTTCTTATTGTATTGTGGTGCAGTATGAAAATCTCAGCTTGTCCAGCAAAGGTAGACTTCTTCTTGTCAAAATGTCAAGCAAAACTCCTGGGGTAAGCCACGCCCAGCTTTCTGACACCTTTAAAAAGCACATGTACTGTATGTAGGAAGGCTGAGGCTAATCTGGCTTGTCCAGATCTTCCAGTGTTCAAAGAGTTTGACTTACTTATTACTTACCATCAGATCACTGTTTTAGTGTTCCTGCCACAAGGAGGTAAAGGATTAAATCCTATTTTGTCTCAGTGGCAGTGGCCCTGCTAAATCCTAGCTACAGATTTGACTACATGAAATGAATTTTGTAAATGTCTCAGCTATTTGTCTGGGTTTTTTGTTGATATGCTGCGCGACTTATTTTATTGTTGTTGTCTGTATTCACTTAGCTGCAAAATGAAGATTCATTGATTGATTGACTGGCTGACTGATTGATTGATTGATAATGAAGCATATTCAATCAAAAAACAACCTAGGATTGGGCTTTAATACCATTTTATTGAACCTAAAGTTTAAAATGATCAAACCTATAACCTAAATCACCATCCATTTTTTTAATCAAACTAAATTATGTTCAGCTTTCAACACTTGCATGTAACTAAAGATGAAAATTACTAAAATTATTATTTGTTTGCTGATTAGACAGAAAACATTTTGATTGTCAGCCAAGTTAATTTTTAAAACTACAATCTGAAAATGAGATGAACGGCAGAAGATACGGTTTCAAATGTTGATTAACTCTGTCTGACTCACTAAGGTAACAGGAGTTCCTGTGTATTTCTATCCTTTTCAACTTCTTGCTGCAGGTAGTGAGGTTCCACTGCAGAATTAATATGCTGATTAATGTAAACTCTTAATATGATATGCATTAGATTCTCTGGAAAGTGACATGCAATAAGCGGGATCTAGAAAAGGTATAGGGGTGGCGTTTCATTTCCTTAACAAATAATCCTCGCCTGAGTACAGATGCTGATTTGCACAGAGCATGTTATATTACATAGCAACAAAGTTGCATTTTAGCTATTATGAAATTATTATTAATTAGATGAAGCTGATATAATTTGTTTATGGTTATATCTGTCATTCTAACCAGCACAGGCAACAGCTAGCACTGGCCGATGAGAAATGATAAGCCTACTGTACTTAAATGCTTTCTATACTGTTCAGTACTAATAGAAAAGCAGCAAGAATAAAAAAGGGTTTATTATAAGATGTATTAGGGATATATTTAATAAACCTGTGGCAAATTATTATCGGACATTGAAAATTTTGCGTCACTGCAATTTTTCAATTTAGCAGCGCATTTACCAAGACTAAAGATTTAAATGAGCAGCCGTGTTAATTTGAATACGCTTCAGCTAGTAAGGACCTGTCTGTTCTGAACAACTCGACCGAGAGGGACGGTAGAAAAGAGTGTCTACTGAAACGGAAGTAGGGCCACAACTAACAATTATTTTAATAATCGATTAATCTGTTGATTATTTCCTTGATTAATCAAATGTATAAAAAACACACAGAAATCTATTTTCCACCTTTCACAAACAAATGTGTTCCTCTAAACAATGCTTATGCTATGTTTCTATGCAGTGCATTATTAAACAAAAAAAAAAAATCTGTTCAAGAATAGAGTATTTATAAAGGGCACAACAGGTCCTTACAGTGTTAACATAAACACATTTTTATGATTTAAAATAATTTAGCCATAAAACTTGACATGTTAATGTAAAGGGCCAGTACAAACATGACTGTTACTGCTGTCAGTTAAAAGTAAATCTGAGTATGCCTAAACAATCCACAACACATTTAGGACTAGCCTTACTCCTGACTTGCATATATATCTCATCAGTGTTCCAGTACACACCTATAACGTTATAGCTTTGTTTTGCTTATTGTGTTTAATACAGTGTTTGGGTGTTCACAGGTAAATCATAATTTTCATTTCATAATTTCTTAAATTACTACTTAAAATTAACAACTTAGTTAACATTGAGCTCTCCTTCTTCTGTAACATTAACTCCCATGTCTTTTCTTTAGGTGCTAATGCATTAGCGTCATGCTCCCCTGCCACTACAGGTACATTTTGCATAGTTGACACCTGACAATCTTTCTTATGATTGTAAAACTTTGAGGACTTGGTTGTCCACAGTTATCTGTTGTAACTTCTGCCATTTTTCAAATGTTTTGATAAACCTCACTGACATAATATGGTTGGAGAAATCAACAAACATATTTTGGAGTTGCAATCACACAGTCTTCTACCAGTTGACTCATCTTTCATTGTTAAGGATAGTAAGTGAAGCGTGGTTTGACCTGAAAGCCTGTTTAAAGTTCCTCACTTTTTTTTCTGGCAAGTGATGGGATTTACTGTACTAACAACCTCCCCCCTCCTCAAATATGTTCTTAACTCCAAAGTAATCTGCCACAGTGACAGCAGATTTCCTGTTGTTAAATTTCAGTGGCGGTTCCCTCTGTCACAGTGGTGGAAAAGAGATTTTCATTCTCTCCTCCCTTATTTTTTTTTCTTGAATGGTAAAGCCTTAAAATACATTTAGCATCAGACCAAATGTGCAAATTTCTGCAGTGCTACTTTTTCTGTTTATCCCCCGTGAAACCCCACTGTGATTCCTTAGTAAATATGAACACACAAATTCATTGTTTAGTACCAGAGAAGCTGCAAAACCTTAATTAATGTACCGGCTACAGGAACCCAACACTAAAACAACCAAAACACAGGTTTAGCAGTGTAATGATATCATGTTCTAGACAGAACCTTAAAGATTCTAAACACCTTCGACTAATGAAAGGTTTATTTGGAACAGAAGATACAGTATACAGTACATGGTGAGGTTGTTTCCAGCAATCGCAAACATCCAGTTTAGTTTTGCCAACATGTAATCCACATATAGCATGTGATAACTGATGAAATTACCAGTGAGGTAGTGCTCCCGTCAGTGTCCTCGCAACTGTGTTTTTGTATTAGGAATGTTGTTCTTTATCATTACCTTTGTCAGTGGTAAAGGATGAGGGTGCCTGGCCAAGGCCAGCTTAACGGTGGTCTCCCAGATGTGGGGGTCATGGAGCCCTCGGGCTGTCACCATGAACTGGACAGGCTCTGACAAATTGGCCACCTCCTGCTCTGCATACACCGTCCCATCGGGCCTCACGCTGAATTTGGGGTCGCTGCTGACAAAGCCCACCTCTCTGCTGTGCTGGCAATCCTCAAACTTTACTGGAGAGACAATCAGAAAGAAAGAACAGGGCTGCAAAGTTAGAGATCTTCTCCATGAGATGTTCGTAACTCCTCGACACATCTGGCGAGTTTAAGATTAACCCACATCCATCAAGACGTATCTTGAAATATCTCATTCTTTCTGCTGTCACTTCTGCTTCCCTGCATTCACATCTTTGGCAAAACAAACTACTTATCTGTCTCTGAACCAGAATACGTGGCTGGAGGATGGGTGTAATTCTTTCTCATTTTATTCATTTCCCAAACTAGAGGGATACAATGTCAAAACAACATTTCCCGCAGCTTCTCCAGGGAAAGCATGAAGATAAAGTCTACAGCACATTAGGCTGACTGGGCTGACTGTGCTCCATGTTTTTCTGCCAAATGCACAGAGTACAGTCTTGAATGACATTTGGAAGGTTCTACTTGGCTGAGACAAAAAAAAGAAGGTCTGAGGAATTGTATGTTCACATGAACACAGGCACACAAACTGCTCCTCCTGACACAAATGTGCCCTATGGGGTGAATGAACAGTTTGGGAGAATGGTTTGAGAACAGGGAGTGTTTTTCTGTCTTTCCTCTAAACATATGAGTCAAAGGGTCAGGAGGACAGACCACACAGAGACAGACAGAGAGACGTGGTGTTTAGCTGTCGAGTGGATCAGCACAAATTTTCCAGTGACAGCTACATGAATATGTCATTATACTACACAAAGCACCAAGAGAGAGAAACCAACATAGTCTCAGACATGACAGATTAGAAAAGCCTCTTATCCCATTGCCAAATTTAATCAACAGTCAATGCGTAATTATCCCATGATTCACAGTATGATGGCATGAATACTGAGAATGAGTGATTATTGTTTTCAACATGCATATTATGTTAATACATACATACACACAAACACCCCATCCCTCCACCATCAAGTTGAAATGCATGTGTTCTGATCTTATCTCACAAACTCTATTGCTGATGACAAGACAAATTGATTTCATAAATCACCCAGGGAACAGATCGGCTGTTATGAGCTATGGCAGCGTGATTTTTCAAAAATCCAGTGTGAAGAATTCTGCACAGCAAGCTGTTTTATCAAGTCATCTATTTAATTTATCGCCCAGCTTCCTGTCAAGAGCAGTTCCCAAACAACAGGCTAATAAAGCATGAGATCTCCTTGGCCGCTGCAGCTTAGCATCATACAAATGAGGCTGGTTGTTTTCAACCTGAGTAATTGCATGTGTAATGGGAAGGCTGGTAAACAGAGTTTTCACAATGTGTGCATCTGTCTATGTTGGCAAGTGCAATTCATATTTTCATTAAAAAAAAATACAACCCAGTGGAGAACATCCTTATGTGAGTGATGAGCTTTGAGTAAAATTAAGGCCTTGCTTTGGGAATCATTTATCAAAGCTACAAGGGGGGGTTACCATCAGGTTGTGACAAAATGACACAGACCTGCTTGGATTGTCCACAGATGAATTGTGATGGCAGTCATGTATTGTGTAAATGACTTCAATTAGCTTGAACTGAGCAGGCTAATTGTTGTCACTTAAACAGGTCCCTTGTGGCACAGCTGGAAAAGCGAGGCTTAAGAACACATGCACTGCAAAGTGCCGCTTATACCACAAATGCTTATGGGTGTGTTCATGCCTGCATGCGCATAAGTGCAGGAGTAAGTTGAAAGTACAGCTAGTCTGATAATGTCAGTCCTCAGCAGGCGCATATATTAATTTCAATGTTAATTCTATAGTAAAGCCAACGAGTTCTCTGCGGGTCTGTCTGCTGCCTTGTGTGCTGTGATGCTGCCAGTTGGCATGGGAACAAACGGGTGGTCTGTGAGGCTTTGCCATTGTGCAGCACTGTTAGTAGAGTGTATTTGATTCTTTGTACTGTAAGTGAACCAGACTGGCTCTCAGTTTACCATTCACAGCATACTTGTGTGCACCCTAACCAAGGGGTTGGGACCATGACCTTGATTTCTGATGCGTCTACTTAATGTGGTGATATCTATAAGTATTTTGCTAGTGATTAAAAATCCTTTTCATAAAGCATATTCAAATCAGATGGTGGGATCTGATCTGGCACAGCATTAAATGGAGATGAAAGCAGCAGAAAGAGACAAAGCTTGGACTAGATACTGATAGAGACACTACACATGTGTGTGTGTCTGAAGGCTAGAGATGGTGGGATAAAAGAAGAAAGGAGAGGCAGATATGGAGAGAAACTGAGATAGAGGTATAAAGAAAAATATATGTTAAAAAACCCCATATTAGAATCATTTTCACAGTGTTCAAAAATCCTTAATTTTAAAACAAGGGGAGTTCATATGCACACAATGATGTGGTGTTGAGTCACCGCTGTTACATCATAATGGAAATGGAAACAGGGACACTGTTGATAACTAATCTGTGCTTATTTATTGTTATTGTTCTCTAGTGCATGTAATTAGTTTTGTCATCTTACGCTTGACAAACTACGGCATCCTTTTCTACCAAATAAAAAAAAAATTGAATTTGAAATGAATAAATAAACATGAAGCTCCAGGGCATCTTCTAAGCTGACAGCCCTGAAGGTCAGTAAACACATCGCATGACATTTTAATTTAAAAAAGTCACAGACATATTTTACCACAGGTTTAATTCAGTGCTGCCACTGGACTTAACTTTGTCACCTGGTCAGCTTTTCTGGAGAACCAGAGACACAGTACAGGACTAAGAGTAGGTCCGGCCTTTGGCTATGTGAGAGCTGATAACATTATCTGTATAATTTGTTGACAAGTACTAATGGACATACAGGTATTTGACAACCTGAAACTTTGCACTATATTTGGTCTGTATTTATTTGTAAGTGGACATTTTTTGTTGTTGCTGTTGATGCTCAAATCCAATGAGAAAATCACACAAAGAGACTTTGACAGGCAGCTCCATTCACCAGCCATCTTTTATAAATGTTAAAGGTTTAAGCGTGTGTATGTGTGTCACTAAGCATGAAACAGTTCTGAACATACTGTTAAGCCAATGGGCATCAGTATACAGAACATCACGTCATAACCAGAGCCACATTCGGGGATCAGATACCCACATAGTAGCCAAAATGAGCTTCTTTCAGTAGATTTTTCACTGATATACAGTAGATCTGCAAGAGGATTCCCTGATTTCCAGCCACTGGGTGGCCTTGTTTACCCATCATGCATCTCTTTGACATGGTGAAGAATTTTATGAAGAATGACTGAGCTCAATTCTGCAAGCCTGAAGCTTGGATGTCTAAGTTCCTGAACATAGTCCACATAAACAACATGGACTTAAATGTACATTAATGCAATGCTGGAATTACTATGTGCTATTTGTATAATACTATACAATATACATGGGTGATTACAGCGTGTGGCAGCTCAGCGGGTCAGAATCAGTGAACAATGTAAACTGTATAAAAATAGGAACAATTTTGTGCCTTGCTGGTTATGATAACAACCTTCTGACTCAAAGATCAAATGTGTCAGTTGCCTTTTTCCTCTGCCTGTTTGTGTGTGTGTCCCTGTATTTTGCCTTGGTTCCCTGTTGTTGATGAGGGAAACATCAAGGGTTTTAAATCACCAGCTCAAGTGTGTGTTTTCTGTCTATGTATTCTGTTCTTCTAAAGTAGTTTGTAGCTAGATATGTGCAAATGTGTGAGCTGGAGGGTTTGGTCTGCCGCCGTGTGTCCCTCTGTAAGTCTCTCTCAGTGTATGTGTGGTTGCATGCTCAGCAGTGTTTGGCAGGCTTCTGAGACTGGTGTCATTTTGCTTGGCTGGTCTTCTCTGGATGCATACAGCACAGAACACGCTGTCCAACAGAGCGGCTAGTACGACACAGACGCAGCTAAAACAGAGTGGGCAAGTAGCCGTGACTGCCGACCACCAAGTCCTCCACACACACACACACACACACACACAGATAGAGACATGCTTATAGTCTGTCCTGCTTCCTGCTTGTAAATCCATGACAATACCCTTGAGGAAAACAAAACAGCTCTTGTATGGAAACATTACATGTGCACAATGCAGAGAGTGAGTAGTGTCTCTGCCCAGCCTGCTTTGTGCATCCCTCATCGCTCTGCATCCACCTTCACCATGTTCACCTGCCGACCGTGCATGCCTCCCCTCTCCTCATGTCGTCATCATCTCCTCCCTGTCTCCACCACTCACTGTTCTTATTTCCACTCTGATTAATCCCCCACCTGTCCTCAGTTATTACATACAGTACTATTGTAAAAGTGAATTAAGGGAATGACATAAAAAAAGCAAAAAAAGATGCAAAAAAAAAGTCATTACTAAAAAGGTGAGGGTGCCAACAGTCTAATTTTAGGATTTTCACACTCGTTAGCTGGTTTTAGAAGTGATCATATCATCTTAATTGATTATATTTAAGACAGATGATTTTTTTTATCAACCTGCTTTCATGTATAAACTTTTATTACTTACAAAGTCTCCTATTTATGATTCTTGCTTCTATTCTGCACCTTCTGATCTGTTTTTAATGAGCTGCAAAGTGTTTTGTTTCTGTGATCTGGAGCTTGTATAAATAAAAATATATTAGCTACAACAGCTACAGACAGCAGATACACTGTACCTAAATGGCTTTGTGTGGGACAAACTTCCCCACTTCTGTGTGTAGAAAAGTGTTAAACATGACACTGCAATGTACTTGAGAATCAGGTATGAATAGTATGAGATGAGCTGGTAAACGGGTCCAGATGGAGCATATGGAACTCGTTTTTATTAAGGTACTATTCATCGCAGTTGTGGCACAGTGCTAAGCAAACATTCCCGCTGGCACCCCACTGCTTTCCTCAAGCCAACGAGAAAATCAACGCCACCCACTCAATTTGGAAATAACAGTATTTGTGCCAGGCTGAGGATGTGATAGACAGGAGTGCGGTGCTCACTGACGAGTCAGTGAACACTGCTAAAATACCAAACATGCTGTGTGTAAGAGGCTGTAAAGAGTTGTGGTATATCTTCGGT